AATAAACAGTGAATGAACTAGGAACATTCTAGGGAGCCCACGAGATCCTAGGTTTTCAATATGTGGTAGCAATTTTGAGAATACTCTAATCTTTGCAATACCTTCCTGAAGGGCTGCCTTCAAATCATTCAATGTAACAATAACCGTGTATGTTGTGTGTACTCTAAAAATTTGACCATTCCTGTTTAAAAGGCAGATGACATGCCAAACATAATTTTTGACTTTCTGACTCACAAAGAAATAGTGTGTAAAAAAATTTGTTTCGGAAAATAGAACTTTTCCTACTTTTTTTAAAATTAGAAATCAAATGCCTCTGTTCTAAATTATTTTTTTACTGTGATTTTAATATTTAGATATTATTGTCTTGCTTTGGATCATGTCTATAGATCCAGGCATGTTGAATTGAGACTGAGAATACCATAAAAACATGTGGGAAGTATAATGCCTTCATGATCCACAACCACAATAGATTTATAAAATAGGAAATCTGTTTTCAATCCTGCCATTTACATTTAATGCTAGCAAGCCCTGATCATTCACTAACTGATAGAAAATATTGACAACTTGGCAGCCTGTTTCCTATTTCATTCTCTTACCTGATATAATTTTCAGATTCATAGGTAAGAAAACTTTTCACTTCTTAGGTGTACACTCAAGAGATTACCAATAGAAAATTATTTGAAATGGAAACTCATGTTAGGATTGTAGCATAAAGTCTTCATCTTCAAAATCTTATTTTCCTTTTCTGATACTCTGCCTGCCTTTTTATGAGGCACAGATCTCGAGGCATAAAAGTCTTGAGAGAGATGGTCCCCTCGGGAGTTGGAAGAATTTTTGTAAGAGTAAACAGGATACATTTCCACACCTGCAATGTGAAGGAGGAGCCTCGGGGAATTTCTATCTTGAGTTCTCTTTTGCACAATATTATTCCTATTTTCTTGCCTTATTATACTACTTCCTTAGTTTCAGAATTATGGACAACAACATAAGCATCAATTGTCTAGTATATTTCCTTGTTCAAATTTCCTTTTAGATAGAGGTATGGATTCACTTTCTTACCTTTGAAGATGAGGGAGTGTTCCTTAGAAGGTGCTCTGGTGTATCAATTGGAAAGAAAATTGGCCATGACAGTTAAGGAATGCAGCCAGTCACATTCTATTGAGTACTTAAGGAAGACTGTTATCATTGATATTCTATTCTTTTAGTACTATGTTTCTATGAAAACCAAAGAAAGAAATGTTTCTATGAAAATCAAAGAAAAAAGAATAAAGAGAAATAGCATTACTTGTTATTTATTCTAAATATGAGTCTTCACTGTTGGTAATAATGCTGAACTCTTTAATTTTGGAGTCCAAAAGCTTACATATCTATGTATCCTCCCTTATTGCTATATCACATATCTATATATCCTCCCTTATTGCTATATCACATGTCTGTGTATCCTCACTACTGATGTATTTTTTTTTTACTTTTTTTTATTGTGATTTGGATGAAAGTTTAGAGAGCAAACTGATTTCCATTCAACAGTTCGTCACATTTTTCATATGTGACATTGATTGTACTCCCCGCAATGTAAGAGCACTCTTCCTGCTTTGTCCCTATAATTTTCATTTCCCTTTATCTTTCTTTCTTATCAATTACTGCCTTGTGAGCTTTATCCCTTGGCAAAAGCTTCCATTTTGGTATCTAATGATTGACTGATCTAAGGAGTGCATACCTCCTTAGTGTCTTTCTATTGTTTGGCTGAAAGTTGAACATTTATCTGTATCTTTTTGGGAAGAAAAATAATCTGATTTATACAAGGGCTATCTCTGTGTGATCTGCCGTATGTCTAAGTTTTCTAATAACAGTTACCAATGTAGTGTTTCTAGTCCATCTTTCTTTGAGTTTTCATTATTGCTATTTTGCAGGAATTCATTATATATTCATCACATTATTAATTCCTTGTCATTTTATATGTTGTAAATATAATAGAAATAAACAACATCTATCATGTGTGTTCATTCCCTTTTATTCAAAAAAAAAAACTTTTCATTATGATTTGGGTAAAAATTTACAGGGCAAATTTGATTTTCATTCTTCAGTTTTTACACATTTTCCTTATGACATTGATTGGGATCCTCACAAGGTAATAGCTCTCTTCCCACTTCCAACCCGTGGTTTCCTTTTCCCTGTGGACTTCTTTCCTATGCATTCCTGCCTTTTCCTATGCATTCCTGCCTTTTCCTATGCATTCTGAGCTTTTCCCCTGCACAAATGCTGTTTTACTAATCTCCTATGGTTGATCCAAGGAGTGCTCCTCTCTGGTGGAATTGTTTACCTCATAGGATGTCAGTTGTTTGTTTGAACATTAAGCCAGGGAGTCTGTTCAATTTCAGGCCCAAACAATGACTAGGTTCCTTAGTCTCAGGGTTTTTCAGTTTCTATCAGATCAGTAAGCCTGGTCTTTTTTATAATTTTGAATTTTGTCCTAGATTTTCCTCCCACTCTACACAGCCTTCAATTTTGATCCCTTTACAAGTTGTTAGCATTGGTAGCCAGGCAACATCTAGTTCTTCTGGTATCAAGGTCATATAGGCTGAGGTTCCCATGGTCCACTAGTCCCTTGGACTGATTGTTTCCATGTGACTTCAACTTTCTTTACTCTTCCGTGATCTGGGCAAGGAGAGAAAAATACTTGCATGTTATATGGCTGCTCATAAGCCTTTAAGATTTCAGTTGTTACTCACCAAAGTAAGATGTAGAATATTATTTTTGTGTACCGTATCATGCTAATTGAGCTTGATGTCCTCCATGATCATAGTCCCAAGCCTACTGTCCCAGTGACTCACTCCCTGAAGGTGTTTGGTTGTGACTAAGAAGTTATCATAACTTTTCCCCGATCCCTTTATATATATATATATATATATATGTATATATATATATATAATATACGTATATATATATCCACATATATATATCCACCAGCCACTCCTCGGAAGGAAGGTTGGGCAATCCTACTTCCGTAGTGATACTGCCTCGGAAACCCAAGGAGGGGTCGCTATGAGTCGGGGCCGACTCGACGGCACATAACAACAACAACAACAAATATATATATATATATGGACTTTTTACAGCACATAAAATAAGTATATAGGAATATCATCTGCCAAATCTAAATATGGTCATTTGTGTATTCCTGTTCACCTACTCATAACAGTTCATCTTGCCTATCTACCTAAGTATCCATCCACCTGTAGATTAATATTTGTTATTAGTGATAATGCAGTATTGTGTATACAACAGTATTTACCTTTGTTGTCTGTACCTTTTGTGCGCTTCTCTCTGTCCTCCATTGCCATAGTGACATGGTGCTGGTCACCTGCTTTTGGTATATTGTCTTTCCCTTTACCCAAATCAATACATGTCTCTTAACTAGCTAGCAGTTTTGCTTCCCTTCCCTTCCCATCCTAGGTAACCAACAAAGAAAATTTCCTTCTGTGTGTAAACCTTTCAATGAGTTTTTTTTTTTTTAATTGTGATCTGGGTGAAAGTATACAGAGCAAATTCACTTTCCATGTGACAGTTCATACAAATTTGCTTTCATGACATTGTCTGCAATCTCCATGATGCAACAGCTCTTTTCCCAATTCTTCCCTTTGGTTATCTTTTCCCTGGGTCCTTTCCTCTGCATTTCTGCCCTCTGAACTATCTCCCTTTGCAAATACTGCCCATAGTTGATCATTCTATGGAGTGCATCTACCTGATATAAATGTTCACATTATACACCTCCCTGTGCAAACACTGCCTTTCGGTTCTCCCATGACGGATCACACCATATGTTCACCCCGTATGATTGTCTATTGTTTGGTGGAAGTCACAGGAGTGAGTTCATTCCAGGCCTGAAGACTAGCTAGGGACCATAGTCTCAAGGATCTCACCAGGCTTTATTAGACCAGCAAACCTGTTTTTTTAATTTTTGTTCATGACTTTGAGTTTTGTTCCACATTGATCTTCCACTCTATCTAGGATCTCCTGAGCTGTTCCTCCTCAGAGTAGTTGACAGTGATAGCTGGGCACCATCTAGTTCTTTTGGTGTCATGGTCAAATATGTTGGGGATTGCATGATGTACCAGTTCTTTGGACTAATTGTTTCCATGCATCTTTGGTTTTCTTCATTCTTTGCTCTGGACAAGGAAAGACCCATTGTTGCATCTAGATGGCCACTTGCAAGTTTTTAAGTTCCCAGCCACTACTCACCAAAGTAGGCTGTAGAACAATGTTTTTGTGTAGTATGTTATGCCAATTGAGCTTGGTGTCCTCTGTGACCATGGTCCTGAGCCCATACGTCTAACTACTCTCTCCCTCCGGGTAGCTGGACCAGCTGACTTTTAAAAGATCTCTGGAGACAGAGGTACCAGAACTCTTTAGATGAACCTTTAGTTATTTCATTCTGTTAGTGATTGTAGTTCATTTGTTTTAATGACTTATTTGCATTTCTGCTTGATGAACAAGAAATCATGACATACCTCTTAAGAATTCTTTTCCCTCATCTATGAATTAGCATTTGCTTTTACAATTAAATTATCATGACTCCAAATTAAAATCCTCAAAATATAAAATCATAATAATTATCTATTCACATTGAAATGTGTTAAAATAAAGGAATGGCATAAATGAACAAATCTAAATATTTTAATACCCAATATATATGTAAGATAGGCATATTTCTACATCTGATCTCACACAAGAATACATTAAAATGCACAAGAAATCAGTCATACCAACTGATACCCCAAAAAATCAATTCAGTATTAAGATTACATGGCTATTGTCTAATTTGTTGAAGTTTGGTTTATACTACATACTTAACGTGAAAGTTTACCATTTATCCTTCCTTTATGCAGTTCTCTTTTTTTTTATATAATCTAAACAATTTGAGAAGCCATATAAATTCAAATCTCAACTTTCTCATTGGATACTTATTTATACCTCAGAAAAATACTCTAGTTTCCATCACATCATAGTTTCCCTCTGATTGCTCTGATCACTCTGATCAAGGCTCTCTTTACTTCCTTGTTCCTCAAAGTATAGATCAGTGGATTTAGTACCGGTGTGAGCACAGAGTACATAATGGCGATGATCCTTTCCTGGTCCATGGAGCTGCTTGAAGCAGGATGAATATAGGTAAAGACAACAGGGGCATAGAAAAGAATAACTACCATGAAATGGGAGGCACATGTGGATAGTGCTCTGTGAAGCATGTTGCAAGAATGGGTCTTGTAGAGGAGATACATGATAATATAGAAATAGGAGAGAAGCGTGAGGAAGAAAGGGCCCATACCAAGGGTCCCTGTGACAATATTGAGCAACCACTGGTTGAGCTCAGTGTTTCCACAGGCCAACTCTAGCAATGGCTTGATATCACAGAAGAAGTGATGGATATGGTTGGAACCACAGAAGTCCAAGCGAGAGGTCATTATGGAGTGCATCAGGGCATGGAAAAACCCAATGACCCAGACTGTGCTCGCCATCTGGGTACAGCACTGATGATTCATGATGACAGTGTAATGAAGTGGCTTGCAGATAGCCACAAAGCGGTCAAAGGCCATGACGGCCAACAACATGGACTCTGTGCTGCCCAGGAAGTGAAAGAAATGAAGCTGGCTTATGCATCCCACAAAAGAAATTGCTTTGTGTGTAGAGAGAAGGTTCTCCAGCACCTTTGGCAATGTCACTGTGGAGTAGCAAATATCTAGACATGATAGGTTTCCCAGGAAGAAATACATAGGTGAATGGAGTCTTGGATCAGAGATGACGATCATCAGGATAGCTCCATTCCCAACGACATTGACTAAGTAGATGGTGAGGAAAACCACAAAGAGAAAAGGCCACAGTTCTTGGGTGTCTGTCACTCCCAGGAGGAGAAATTCAGTAACTGAGGTTTGGTTCAGCATCACTTAAAAAACAAAACAACATATATGTTTGACCCGCCAACCTTCTGATTAGCAGTCAAATGCCTTAGGTACTGTGCCACCAGAGTTCCACCCCTAATGAGAATCAGAATCCTTCATCTAGGATTTTCTCATCTTGACAAAAATATTTTTGAGAGAGTATAGTCTGGTGACATAGTGTCTAAGGCATTTGACTGCTAACCAGAAGGCTGGCAGTTCAAACCCACCAGCCACTCCTCAGGAGGAAGATTGGGCAGTCTACTTCATAGAGATACCACCTTGGAAACCCAAAGACTGGTCGCTATGAGCTGAATCGACTAAAGGGCAGGGAGTTTTTTGGTCTTTTTTTTGTTTTGTTTTGTTTTATTTTTAAATAGTTGTATTGAGGGTTCTTCATTGGGCAGACAGTTTGCATTCCATTAACAACAGAAAGATTGGTGGTTGAAACCCACCTAGGTACTCTGCAGAAGGAAGATCTGATGATCTCCCTTGTAAAGGTTGTGGCAAAGAAAATCTCGTGGAATGCAATTGTACTCTGTAACACAGGGAGTCACCATGAGTCAAAATCTAGTTGATGGCAAGTGGATTTTTGTTGTTATAGTTGTTCAACATGATCTCAAACTCAGATGGTTTATAGAATGTGAGCCATTAAACTGTCAAATATTAAGGTTTCATGACAGCTCTTTGTTTGACTGTCCATATTTTTTTCTTTATTTGATTTATTGTCAGTATTTTACTGTCAGAGATACAGAGCATCTTTTCAGCCACCCATCATCTTTGCCTGTGAACATGTAAGTTGTAATTCAACCAACTTTCCTTTTGTCTTCTTGCATCAGCTCTAATTCGACACAAATTTTAAGTACTCCACCATGCTGCTATCTCTAAATGTAGTATAAAGCCACCTGGAAGAATTAAAGTTAATGAAAATAAACAGAGAAGAATCATTAAATATTTTAAAGACCACAAATTCTTTAAAATACTTTAAATAACACCACCAACAACAAAAAAAAAAACTCACTGCAGTCCAGTAGGATTAGACTCACAGCGACCCCTCCTTGGGTTTCTGAGATGGTATCACTAAGGAAATAGATTGCCCAACCTTCCTTCTGAGGAGTGGGTGGTGGGTTTGAAACGCCTGCCATCTGGTTAGTAGCCAAATGCTTTAGGCACTGGGTATCCTAAGAGGAAAAGGTATTCCCACTACCCACCAGCCACTCCTTGGAAGGAAGGTTGGGCAGTCTATTTCCATAGCAATACTGCCTGGGAAACCCAAGAAAGTGTCGCTATGAATCGGGTCTGACTCGATGGCACATAAAAACAACAAAACACTACTTTAAAGTAGTAGTAATACCTTTTTCTCTTACGATGTAAATTGCACTAGAGATGTCTTCTATATCCGTGGGAACATAATCAAGCATTAGGTGGTATGGGAAAAGAAGCCACATAATCAGATATTATTAACTTGAGGCTTATTTGAACATTTGTTGTTTTTGTTGGTTGCTGTTCAGACAGTTACCACTCTTGGCATCCTGATGTGTGCAGAGTGGATCTGTTCCATAGGGTTTTCAAGGATGTCACCTTTTGGAAGTAGATTGTCAGGCCTTAATTCTGAACTGCCTCTGAGTAGCTTTGAATAGTCAATTTTTGTTTAGTAGTCCAATACTTAACCTGTCTCCTTCAGGTACACTGACAAAGCAGACAAGCTCTTGTGAAATAGCTCTTTTTGTTCCTTTCATTTCCAAATGTAGTAGATCAGCTCTTGTTTATTGGGAGGGAAGAAGTAAGATGTGTGGGAAATTTTCAGGAATGGGAGCCACTGAGAGAAGTCTAAGAGCTAAAATGATATACAGGTTAGATAGTTCCCTATAAAAGTTAAATCACTTGAGTTTGGAGAAAGCACTGGCAGTAGAAGCAAATGATTTGAGGTGAATAACAATAAACAGTGAATGAACTAGGAACATTCTAGGGAGCCCACAAGATCCTAGGTTTTCAATCTGTGGTAGCAATTTTGAGAGTACTTCCTGAATTTTGAGAATACCTTTCTGAAGGGCTGCCTTCAAATCATTCAATGTAACAACAACCATGTGTGTTGTGTGTACTCTAAAAATTTGATCATTCCTGGTTAAAAGGCAGATGACATGCCAAACATAATTTTTGACTTTCTGACCCACAAAGAAATAGAAAAAATTTGTTGGAAAATAGAACTTTTCCTATTTTTTTAAAATTAGAAATCAAATACCGCCATTCTAAATTATTTTTTTACTGTGATTTTAATATTTAGATATTATTGTCTTGCTTTGGATCATGTCTATAGATCCAGGCATGTTGAATTGAGACTGAGAATACCATAAAAAACATGTGGGAAGTATAATGCCTTCATGATCCACAACCACAATATATTTATAAAATAGGAAATCTGTTTTCAATCCTGCCATTTATATTTAATGCTAGCAAGCCCTGATCATTCACTAACTGATAGAAAATATTGACAACTTGGCAGCCTGTGTCCCATTTCATTCTCTTACCTGATACAAATTTCAGATTCATAGGTAAGAAAACTTTTCACTTCTTAGGTGTACACTCAAGAGATTACCAATAGAAAATTATTTGAAATGGAAACTCATGTTAGGATTGTAGCATAAAGTCTTCATCTTCAAAATCTTATTTTCCTTTTCTGATACTCTGCCTGCCTTTTTATGAGGCACAGATCTCGAGGCGAAAAAGTCTTGAGAGAGATGGTCCCCTCGGGAGTTGGAAGAAATTTGTAAGAGTAAACAGGATACATTTTCACACCTGCAATGTGAAGGAGGAGCCTCGGGGAATTTCTATCTTGAGTTCTCTTTTGCACAATATTATTCCTATTTTCTTGTCTTATTATGCTACTTCCTTAGTGTCAGAATACAGACAAAAACATAAGCATCAATTGTCTAGTATGTTTTCTTGTTCAAATTTCCTTTTAGATAGAGGTATGGATTCACTTTCTTATCTTTGAAGATGAGGGAGTGTTCCTTAGAAGGTGCTCTGGTGTATAAATTGGAAAGAAAATTGGCCATGACAATTAAGGAATGGGACCAGTCACATTCTATTGAGTGCTTAAGGAAGACTGTTATCATTGATATTCTATTCTTTTAGTACTATGTTTCTATGAAAACCAAAGAAAGAAACGTTTCTATGAAAATCAAAGAAAGAAGAATAAAGAGAAATAGTATTACTTGTTATTTATTCTAAATATGAGTCTTCACTGTTGGTAATAATGCTGAACTCTTCAATTTTGGAGTCCAAAAGCTTACATATCTATGTAGGGATTATTGCTGTATCACATATCTATGTATCCTCACTTATGGCTGTATTTTTTTTAACTTTTTTTTATTGTGATTTGGATGAAAGTTTAGAGAGCAAACTGATTTCCATTCAACAGTTCATCACGTTTTTTTGTGTGTGACATTGATTGCACTCCTCACAATGTAAGAGCACTCTTCCTGCTTTGTCCCTATAATTTTCATTTCCCTTTATCTTTCTTTCCTATCATTTACTGCTTTGTGCACTTTATCCCTTGGCAAAAGCTTCCATTTTGGTAGCTAATGATTGATTAATCTAAGGAGTGCATACCTCCTTAGTGTCTTTCTATTGTTTGACTGAAAATTGAACTTTTTGCTGTATCTTTTAGGGAAGAAAATTAATCTGATTTATACAAGGGCTATCTCTGTGTGAACTACGGTATGTCTACATTTTCTAATAACAGTTACCAATGCAGTGTTTTTTGTCCATCTTTCTATTGAGTTTTCATTATTGCTGCTTTACAGGAATTCATTATATATTCATCACATTAATAATTCCTTGTCATTTTGTATGTTGCAAATATAATAGAAATAAACAACATCTATTATGTGTGTTCATTCCCATAATAAAAGTCTTTTTATTATGATTTGGGTGAAAATTTACAGGGAAAATTTGATTTTCATTCATCATTTATACACATTTTGTGTCATGACATTGACTGCAGTTCATACACATTTTCCTTCATGACATTGAATGGGATCCTCACAAGGTAATAGCTCTCTTCCCACTTCCTACCTGTGGTTTCCTTTTCCCTGTGTCCTTCTTTCCTATGTATTCCTTCCTTTTCCAATACATTCTGAGCTTTTCCCCTGAACAAAAGCTGTCCTACTCATCTCGCATGATTGATCCATGGTGTGGTTCTCCCTGGTGTAATTGTTTACCTCATAGGCTGTCAATTGTTTTGTTGAAGTTTTAGCCAGGGAGTCAGTTCAATTGCAGGCCCAAAAGGTGACTAGGGGGCCTTAGTCTCAGGGTTTTCATCAGACCAGTAAGCCGGGTCTTTTTTTATAATTTTGAGTTTTTTCTAGATTTTCCTCCCACTTTACCCAGGGTCTTCAATTTTGATCCCTTTCCAAGTTATTAGCATTGGTAGCCAGGCAACATTTAGGTCTTCTGGTATCAAGGTCATATAGGCTGAGGTTCCCATGGTCCACTAGTCCCTTGGACTGATTGTTTCCATGTGACTTTAACTTTCTTTACTCTTCCGTGATCTGGGCAAGGAGAGAAAAATACTTGCATGTTATATGGCTGCTCACAAGCCTTTAAGATTTCAGTTGTTACTCACCAAAGGAAGATGTAGAACATTATTTTTGTGTACTGTATCATGCTAATTGAGCTTGATGTCCTCCATGATCATAGTCCCAAGCCTACTGTCCCAGTGACTCACT